CTTTAGCTAAGAGTCCCATCGTAGTATAACACTGGAGTGGTCCAAGTAATTGTTAATGGTACAGTAGAAATCACTACATTACACTGCCTTTAGGGAAGAAACAGCTCAATTTAACTGTGCAGTAAAGATTATCTTTGCATCAAGGGATATCTTTCCAATAACTGAGAGAGGAGCAAACCTCTGGAAGACAGAAAATATTAAGCTATAGCAAAATCTGGCCAAAATTCAGTATTAAGTTACCTGTAAGTGATCCAGAACAAGACTCCATTAAAGATAAAATAAAAAACAAAACCCAAAACAAAAACAAACAAACAAACAACAAAAAAAAAACTTATTAAACTTGCTGATAGAGTACCTTTCTGCCAAAACAGACATTATTCCATTAGATTCTTCCTAAAAAACCTTAAAAAAATAGTAAATGCTGCCCTGGATTTGGCAAAAAACCTGCTGGAATATGGTGGGAGGAGGAAAGAAAGCCAGTGCTTCTTATCCTGAAGACAATCTGACCTCCACAATGAGAAGTCATGCAAGACCAATGACCAGGTCCCAAAATGTAGACGTATTTCAACACAACATTAAAGAAAATGAGAACAGCACACAAGGGAACATTTTGAACTGCGAAAGCAGCAACTCATTCATCAGAGTTTGGGGATAATTGATGTCATTGCACTAGCCTGAAACAGTGCACATGAATCTGACTAACCATGCTCAGGAAATACTGGAACAGGACTTGAGTAGAGGGACCATGGCAACAGAGCTTATGACAGAGACTAAAGAAAGTCAGTTTGTGTAGTCTAGTAAACAAAGGTGGTGAAGGGCCCACTGCCTATAAATAAGGGCAGTAAACACCAGCTAAGGGTGCTAAGTCAGCTGGAAGATGCTTCTGGACCAGAACAAATGCATGAGAACTGACTGCAAGTGAATAAATTCAGATCAGAAATCAGGAGAAGGCATCCAACCTTTAGGTCCAGCATGCAGTGAACTGAAGAGTCAAGAGGGAAACCCACCCACTTAAAGATGGAGATTTGTCAACTGATGACATTAAGTGGGCTTGTGACAGCAGAAGACTGACTCAGTGACCCAGGAGGACTTTTTTGAACTTGTTTGTTCCTATCAGCTGACTATTTAGTCATCTTTCTTCTAGATGAAGACATGACCTTTCCCACTTGTCTCCTGTACTGCTAAAGCAATAAAGACCTCTCATTTCTTTCTCCAGGTGCCAAGAAAATATCTTTAGAAAATGAATCATATTTACAACATGCAACTTCTCACACTCTTCCACTTTGTCAGTAGGGCTCCAAGGACAGTTGGGTCCATCACATGCCATGAAATATGGTTCATTCTGACCCTGTGATAGGCAGTAGCAGAGGAGGGGCACAGAAGACCTGCAACAGATGCTCCTGTGCTCTACCCCCTGAAGCACTACACTAGTAGAGTGATTAGGCACATTAGGCCATGAATTTCAGCGCAAACGGCATCAGTTTAGACAGGAGGAATGGGTAACATCAAGTGATTACTTTGAGTCGATGTGGATCCTGATTTCTGAACGAGAGCTACACTGCACCTCATAAGCAGGTAGCAGTAATGTTCTCTCCATGCATTTTGGGTGGAAAGACCAGCAAATGCAGACAACAAAATACCAGCAAGCACTGCTAAGAAGCTGCAGAGAGCCAGCACTGCTAGCTTGGCATTGTACTAGGCTAATGTGGCCCTGAACAGCTTCTGGTACATTTATCAGTACAATCAAGTTGCCTTTGGTTTCTCCACTTCATCTCAGTACTTGTCTACAGTGTTGGTCATGGCAAGAAAACTCAACCACATTCTCTCCTTGGCTTTCACTTGGGGCAGCTTGGCAGCAATCTCTTGGGAAGGGGAGAGGTGAAATTGAAGACAGATGAGCCATTTGCAGGAGCCCCCTGGCCTGTAACACATCCATCCTCTGGCCAAAAGCACTGTAACTCCACACAATGTTGAGAGGAAAGCTTGCTGCTTTGTGCTGCACTTTGGGAATGTCACTGACAACAGCACTGCAGTAGCAGCGTGCACTGAACACAGCCAGGTGTAGTTATCAGTATTGCCCTCACTGCTCAGTACCAGTATTGCCCTCATTAACCTCTTCCCACTGCCACGCCACACGAACAAACCCCTCTGTTACTGCCACAGAAGAGATGCCAAGCAGGAGCAATGGGCTTTTCCTCCTGTAATGTGAAAGAACTCTCTCTCACAGATATAGCATGCTCCTGGAAAGTAACTCGCCCTAATGTACCGTGCCTTAAACCTAATGTGAGCAAAGAAAGTACAAAAACTGTTAGAATGATATTAAAGAGGTATACACTAAATTACCATTCATGATGTAACATCAAACTACCAAATGGGAGGAGCATGGTAACTGATTCATTAAAATGTTTCTAACAGACGGTTCAAAGATACATTTTTGGGAGAACCAATGTAGCTGCCCCAAAAGACTGAGGTTAACCAACACTGTTTTTTTATATGGGCCTTAAATAAGAATTTAAAATCAAAATATTGTGTCACTCAAAGACTGACAGTGAGAGGAAGTAAAGCTTACTTCAAGAGGCATCTTACAGTAATTCACACACTAATTTTCCAGTAACCACACTAGATGTTATATTTTTCTATTATGTGCTCATGCTTTAAACCATTTTTTATCTTAAAAATTCACACTAAGGCTGTGTACCTATTAAGTATTGAAAACACTGTGTAAATATTGAAACAAACTACAAGTCTTGGAAGCATATTCTGGGTAGCTGAGAAGTTACTTTCTCAATATCCCAAGTAATAACATTATATTAAAGCCCAGCTTTCATCTAGCATACCTCAAATCAGGAACACAGGAGCTATCCTTCAGCCTTGCCAGAACGTGTATGTATTTATAATTTTACTTCTTCTACCTGCTTGTTTAATAGTTTGGCAAAAACCATAACCCATTTTTTAGAAGACTTACAAACTCATCTCTGTTGATACAGCAAATCTTTGTTAGTTTTGTCCTAACTGTTCATTATAACAGCAACACAACACTTTGAACTTGCACAGCATAGAATATCTCATTATCTTCTAAATAAAAAGTGGTTCTCCAAGGTTAGATGAGCTCAGTGAATGCCTCTTGAAGTCAGAGTTATAACAGGTTATTCTGTTTCTTCAACGGAAGTGATCCCCACGTGGCAAGCAGAGGCTGGGAAGATGAGGCAGGGAAGGAAGGCAGTGCTCTGTACCGCATCCAGGAGGACATCTACTGGTTGTCGTGGTTGGCCAGGGTTACACCAAAACAGACCTGGTGTGTTCTGCACACCAAAGCTACCACAGCAGAAACCTACACCACTGAGATGCTTCCTGGCATCACAGAATCTTGGCATAGAGCTGGGATTGGAGCTTTTGACTCCTTTCCTTAAAACATGGGGTTTTTTTCCTCTTCAATTAAGTCAAGATTGATGGTTCTTTGAGTTAGGCTTTTTATCAAAATTTATATTCTCAGAGAGCTGGTTTGTGGCTGTCACCAAACCTCCAGCCTAGTGGTTCTGCCAAACTCTACCCCAACAAGAGAATATCAGCCTACATTAACTTTCATCCACATCCCAAAGTTCATCAAAGGTTGAACATTGCATTTCAATGATCTCTGACAAGCTTCCCGATTTCTCTGGACTCCCTAGGGTCCAGAAGAGCTCTTCAGTAGACCTATTCCTGGGTTTTGGTCTCAAGAGGAATTCAGCAACAAACAGCCTACAGCTGAGCTCATTTTACCTTAACCCTATCAACCCCATAAGTGTGAAAACTTCAGGGTAAAAAGTAAATCAACAAAGAAATAAGCAGTCATTATCCATTCAATAAATTTTGGGATTTTTCAGGGATTTATGACTGCGCTCATATCTCTTTGATCACACTGGATTTCAGACTAAGCCAAGAGAAACAGCATTCACAGACACTATTGCCTTGCCACCTAGGTGTGGCAAAATCTCTTTGGTGTCTGCTACACTCTTATCAATCTTTACCTGCTACTAATTCATAGCACAAAAGAAATCCTGTGCTCCTCTCATCCTGAGAAACGTCAGCTGCTTCTGGGCAGTGCACGTTCCCCACAGGACAAAGCTACCTGTGAACCCCACGCAGGAGTGCTAGGGGAAAAACTGGCACCTCACACTCCACAGGTTGCTCTCATTCTTTGAGCAAATCTCTCTTTGGTGTCAAAACACAAATACACAAGAAAGAGCCTTTTTCTATCTTCCTCTCTCTTAGTTGCAGTTCAGTGGCAAAATATATAAAAACAACAAAAAGTATATAAAGCAATAAAAAATAAGCAAACCTTTACATATGCCAGGTATCAAATATAAAGCTGGTGGTGCAAAAGGAAAGCTTTCCTACTGCCAGTTCAGGTTATAGCAACTATGAATTATGACAGAGCAGCAATCACTGACACTTATTTACCTACAAGTGTACTACCACTGACCAGGCTCGAGCACCCCACAGTGGATGTGCTCTGGAGACCAGAAACAGCAGTTTACCAGCACCAGTAATGTCATTCATTACTGGGAATGTTATTTCCCAGCAGGTTAAAAGCATAGCTGGGGTCCAGCTAGGTTCAATTTCACTGTATAGCAAGAAACAACAACTCAGTGAGAATTTTCCTCTCGCAGACACAGATGAACTTCAACTGGCAGCTGCCGCTCGCCTCCCCCCACAAGCACACTAGGAATGTAACCCACATCCACGCCTGCTCCAATGGGAGCAGGTAAAGCAAATGCTGTTTTAGAGACAGAGACGACTGCGATTCTTTTAAGGAGCAAGAGCTCCCGAAGGCACGAAGGTACAGCTCAACAGGAAGGCCTGAGGTTCTCTGCGGTGTGACAGAGCAGCCCGTGCGGCAGGGGTTGATCAGGTCACCCAGAGACCAGAACGCCCTTCCCTAGGAGGGGGGCAGAACCAAATCCCCATCCTGCTTCCCCCCTCCCCTTCTGGACAGAAAGTAAGGGGAACACTCCTCTTACCTGAACTCGGGCAGGAGGTTTGGCCGCAGCCCATAAAACGCCGCTGAGAGAGTCACTAGCCAGCCGGGTTTGTAATTCCCATTCTCACACTCCAGGTATGGTGAGGACCACCTGATGTGGTTCTTATCAGCAGTGAAGCTCTCCCGCCGCTTCCAACTGTTTTCCGAAGTTTTGGGGCCCGTGTTTAAGACCTTCCTGTGCAGATGTGGCCTCCACTTGCGCTTCAAGCTGTGGAACCACTCTGTTTCCACAGAGGCATTGGCCAGGCGGTGAGCTGTGGAGGACAAGTCCTGCAGGAGAACCTGGCTCTCGTGCCTGCTGGCCTGGAGGAAAACCTGGGGAGTGGATGAGAAAGGCTCCGTGCTGAAAGTGATAGCGGCCCTGGAGATGTTGGGGTCCTCTTCCAGCAGGCTCCTGATCAAGGCGCGGTACCACTCCAGGTCCTCCTGCAAGTTCTGCTCCCGCGACTTATTGCTCTGGAGGATCATGTTGAGTAAGTTGGTGGCGTGGGTGAGGGTGCCCAGGGCACCGTGCAGGGAGGGGTGCGAGGTGAAGCGCGACTTGCCGGCGAGGCTGGCCAGCTCGTACCGCCCGGAGCAGTTGGCTCTCCGCAACTCCCGGGAGTCGCCCGTGTAGAGGAACGAGGCCACGTCCTGGGGCACCTCCTCGGCGAGCCGCTGCGCCAAGATGGTGCTCTCTGTAGAGCGGCTCCGCGGAGCCGGCAGAGGCTCCCGGCTCTTGATGTGGTTGTAAATAGGCTGCTTCCCTCCGAGCGCCCGCTCCCGGCCGCGCACTGCCTGCCCTTGGTCGCCGGCAGCCCCCAGCCCGCGCTGGGCGAGGAGCAAGAGGAGAAGGAGCCGGAGCAAAGCCATGTCCCCCGGTGCTGCCGGTCGCGCCGGCACGGCGAGGCGGCTGAAGACGAGCTTCGCGCAGGCGGCCGCGGCGCAGGGGTGCGAACGCGCAGAGGCGGCCGAGCGGCAGCGGGGCGGAACGCGACCCCCGGCCCGCGAGTCACCTGTGGCGGTGCCGCCCGCAACCTCCCCGGCGCGGGGCTCCGCACAGCCCCACCGCCGGAGCGGAGCGGCGCGCAGCCCCTCCGGCGACAGCAGAGCCGAGCCCTCCTGCGCCTCCTCCCGCCGCGGCCACCGCGCTCACTGAGCTCCTGC